AACATTGTTTTTGTTCTTGGGACATTTCTGGGTTCTAAGAACATGTCATGGTAGGACTATAGGAATGCCGGGACGGTCGGTCCCTGCTCGAGTGTTCGCCCAGCGCGTTCCATTGTTCGCAGGGTGCCTACTCGCAAGCGTCCGAAACAAAAAAAAACACGTCTGCTGTGATGCCATGTGTATCGCAGAGCCCCCGCGGGGGGGGGCCCAGGCCATCTGCGAGCAGTTGCTCCTGTGAGCAGTGGAGCGCGCTCGTCGATATTTGCGCTCTCGGCGCCCCAGCGTCGAGCGCTCTGCGCGCCCCAGCGTGCAGAGGAGCAGAGGGGTCGGAGGTGGATAGACCTCCTACCCTGGCACGTCGATTGGGGAATCGGCCGCTTTCGGTTCGCGAGAGGGCGTCGCGGCCGTCATTTTCGCGGGTCCAGGCCCGTCGGTTTCGGCCCTGGGCCGTTCCTCACGAAAGGGAGGTTTACGAAAGGGAGGTTTGTCCACTCCAGGTCCGTCGGTCTCAGCCCTGGGCCGTTCTCACGAGAGGGAGGTCTACGAAGGGGAGGTTTGTCCACCGCCGAAGCCTGGCATCGCTCGGACGTGTGCATTTTTTTCTCGGCGGGGACCCTGGAGGAGCATCCTGGACCATCGCGCCGAACAAAAACACGCACGAAGCCGAAACATACACGGGAAATGGACGTCCGAGCGACGGCAAGGTTGAAGGGATGGATGGATGGACCACCTGTGCGAGAGGGATCCCTACTCAGGTGAGCGCGGCTTATGCTCAGCATAAGCTCTCGATCAGCGTTGTGGCACACTCCGCGCGCGCCAGCGATGCTACGGCGCGATACCCCTACAACCTGCGAGCGGGCCTCCTGGGGCAAGCCCCAGCACGAGACCGACTCGGAGATCAGGGGACTGGCGCTGCGAAGTATATCAGATAGAAGGGGGAAGACGTCGTTCACATTTCACCTCAAACAGCTTGAATTCACATTCCGCCACTGTTGGGCGGCAGCCCGTCGTACCGCAACGAACGGAGAGGGGCGAGGGAGGCGAGGGGGGGAGCAAAGCGTTACGACGGAATCGTCCCTTTTTTAAACCAGCCGGATTGTTGCGACAATTCCGACGGCAAGGAAGGGGGAGGGGGGAGCGGCAGGGGCGGGGCCGCGCCGCGCGGGCTAGCGCAGTGCGAGAGGGGCGGGGGGCCCGCGCGCCGTCCCTGCGCGGCGGTCTCCCCCGGGGGGTGCGCCTCGCGGCCGCGAGAGCCCGCGGCGCGCCTCTGGCGGGGGGCAGCTCGGGGCACCACGGGGGGGCCACCGCCGCAGCCGAGCGCGCGTTTCGGGAGGAGGAGGAGGAGGAGGAGGAGTGAGGAGGAGGGAGGGAGAGGAGGAGGGGAGGGGAGGGGGAGGAGGAGGAGGAGGAGGGGAGGGGAGGGAGGAGGGAGGAGGAGAGGAGGAGGAGAAGGAGGAGGAGAAGAGGAGGAGGAGGAGGCGGATGAGGAGGGGGAGGGGGAGGGGGAGGGGGAGCGGGAGGAGGGGACGAATGGAGGCCGAGGAGCAGACGAGGCGGGGCCACAGCCACAGCCGGGCGCTCCTTCGACCAGTTTTGACCGTGCTTGATGTTTCAGTTTTGACCGTGTTTATTTTTTTGGTTGTCTAGCTTTTGCTTGTCTTCCAGCACCCGCCCGCAGGAGGAGATGCCCGGCGTGAGGCCAGAAGTGCCCCTGGCCCAGGGTGCCTCCAGGATCTCCAAGGAAACCCCCACGGCCTCCAGAGCACCCCTCACGAGGCCAGAGGGTGCCAGGGGCTCGAACATGGAGCGAAAAGCTGGGGGGCACCTTGGGCCAGGGGCACCTTTCATGGTCACCCCCCAATCCAGGGGCTGGCACCCCTCGGGAGCGGAAGAAGGACGTGCACGTGCATGAGTCCACGCTGGTTTCGAGAGTGCGCATTGCCAGAACGTTCGCGCCATGCGGCTGGTCTCGCGAACTGGGGGGCCGTGCTTCTTCACGTGGTTGGACGCGCACCTCCTTTGTGGGTTGCCCATCGGGGCAAAATGAAGAGCCACAACCGCAGGCGCGTGGAGTTCTGGGAGGGCCCCTCGGGGAATCGGCACGATCGAAATGGGTAGCGACAGGTACGATGCCCAACAGCAGTTCCTGTGCGTTTTGAGCAGACCTTGCTGTCCGCGCCGCCGCGAGCGTTGTTCATTTGAGAAGGCCGCCTGCCCAACAGCGGCCGCTGTCGCTTTTGGGCAATATTTCTTGTTGGGCATTGCATTAATTTACTGTGTGCCCATGTCGGTCGGCCCACGGGAAGAACCCACAGATCTCGACATGAGCACGCGGGTTGTGGTTGTGATCCATTTGGCCGTCCTGGGGCGCCATATCGACCATAAACAGCATCGAGCTGGTTTGGGTGCTCCCGACGATTTCCGGCGTGCGCAAGACATCTCCCCGGGGGGGGGTGTTCTCGATGTGTTTGTGGTCGCTTGCTGTCCCCCCACAGGAGCGGCGGGGGGGGGGCAGGCCTTCAGACATTCTCTTGGCATCGCTCGGACGTGTGCCTTTTTTCTCGGCAAGAACCATCAAGGATCATCCTGGACCATCGAGCCAAAAAAACACGCACGAAACCGAAAAATGCACGGGAAATGGACGTCCGAGCGACGGCAAGTTCTCGCGTCGCAGCACGGTCACGACGGCGGGTTACCGGACGTGGTCGGTCTCTGGGGGCCCTCGCCGGGTCGCGCGGCCGTGGAAGGACGACTCGGGAGGAGCGAGCCAGCCTTTGGGAGCTGGTCGGGACCTCTGGCTTGGCATCGCTCGGACGTGTGCATTTTTCTGCGAGGACCATCGAGGAGCATCCTTGATCATTTGGCGAAAAAAAAAAAAACACTCACGAAACCGAAAAAAGCACAGGGAATGGACGTCCGAGCGATGGCGAGCTGGGGACCCCGAGGCCCTGACGCTGCACTGGGTCCACACTTGGGGATTTCACCCAGGGGAGGGCGACAGACTCTGTACGTGTCCACTGCTCCCTGGCCAGGCCCATGCTGAACGCAGGAGCTGTGTATACGCCTCCTGGCCAAGCCACGAGGGCGTGGCGTAGACACCGCTGCTGGGTCCAGGATGGGCCCACTCGGGGAGCAGTGGACGTGTACGGATCTCGTCGCCCTACCAGCGGGAAGGCCCTGCAGGATCCTCACAGACGGATGCAGCTTGAAGACACATGGGCCGCAGAAAGGGCGAAGTCAGGGGCTCTGGCCGTGATTGCTTACGACACTGCAGCCAGGGTTTTCGCCACGTCGGATCCCGGGGAAGGCCGCGGGGCTGTTCAGAGGCCACCTGGCCCCTCTGCGAAGCCATCTCTGTGGCGTCGAGGGATGGCTCAGAGAGAGATCCTCAGCAGTCCGCAGGCCTCCGGAGCCCTCCGAGGAGGCCCACCCCCCTGTCGTGGGCGAGTCTCACATCCGTACCCCCGGCTTCGCGGGCCGGGCCCTCGGGCCGCAACCCCGCGGACACGGCGCTTGTTGTTCGGCCGGTGCCCCGCGCGGAACGTTTCTGTGCGACCGCGTATCCGCGGGATCGCCCCCCCGTATATATATATATATATATATATATATATATATATGTATATATATATATATATGTATGTGGTCTATATATTTATATATACAAGACTGCATTGGCGCTGCGCGCCATGCACCTTGGTCCTTTGAGTTCTGCACAGAAACGGAATGCGTGCGTGCGTACATGCGCGAATGCATGTATACACGCGCACGTGCATGCACGTTCCGTATACATGTCTAGGTGCATACAATAGACTTACATTGTTGTATGTGTGTATACAGCGTACACATGCACATATAAACATATGTGTGTAAGGGTCTGAACATGCACATGCAACTCGTACGGGGCATCTTCGGGCATCTTCGCTGCATGCCACGAGACCCTCAATGACTGGGTCACAATGTGAAATGTCATAGCAGCAAAATCAATGAATGTTGGCATTCGGAAGCATCGTGGGGGTGTTTTTGGGGCCCTCGTGGGCCGTTTTGGCGCCTTCATGGGCCGTCCTGGGGCCTTCTTGGGCCGTCTTGGGGAGCTTGGGCCCGCTGGAGCCCCCTTTGGACCCATCTTGGGCACTTCCGGGGACCTCCCATGGCCCTTTTGGGTCTGTGCTGGGAGCCCTTGGGGGGCCTCTTGGTTCCATTATGGGCTGTCTTGGGGCTCTCGTGGGCGATCGTGGGGCCCGGCTCGGCCGTCTTGAAGCTTTCTTGGGGGCCTTTTGGGGCGTCTTGAGGCGATCTCGGGGGCTTTGAAACCGTCTTGAAAGCTGATGAAATCCGAAAGGCGAATATGCTAAAATTGTAAGTTTTACGAAGGGAATGGGGCGATTTTTGTGGTTTGAAGGCCCCTTGGAAAGCTTTTTGGGGTGCCTTGGGGGTCTTTATGTTGGCATTCGGAAACATCGTGGGGGTGTTTTCGGGGCCCTCGTGGGCCGTTTTGGCGCCTTCATGGGCCGTCCTGGGGCCTTCTTGGGCCGTCTTGGGGAGCTTGGGCCCGCTGGAGCCCCCTTTGGACCCATCTTGGGCACTTCCGGGGACCTCCCATGGCCCTTTTGGGTCTGTGCTGGGAGCCCTTGGGGGGCCTCTTGGTTCCATTATGGGCTGTCTTGGGGCTCTCGTGGGCGATCGTGGGGCCCGGCTCGGCCGTCTTGAAGCTTTCTTGGGGGCCTTTTGGGGCGTCTTGAGGCGATCTCGGGGGCTTTGAAACCGACTTGAAAGCTGATGAAATCCGAAAGGCGAATATGCTAAAATTGTAAGTTTTACGAAGGGAATGGGACGATTTTGTGGTTTGAAGGCCCCTTGGAAAGCTTTTTGGGGTGCCTTGGGGGTCTTTATGTTGGCATTCGGAAACATCGTGGGGGTGTTTTCGGGGCCCTCGTGGGCCGTTTTGGCGCCTTCATGGGCCGTCCTGGGGCCTTCTTGGGCCGTCTTGGGGAGCTTGGGCCCGCTGGAGCCCCCTTTGGACCCATCTTGGGCACTTCCGGGGACCTCCCATGGCCCTTTTGGGTCTGTGCTGGGAGCCCTTGGGGGGCCCTGTTGGTTCCATTAGGGGCTGTCTTGGGGCTCTCGTGGGCGATCGTGGGGCCTGGCTCGGCCGTCTTGAAGCTTTCTTGGGGGCCTTTTGGGGCCTCTTGAGGCGATCTCGAGGGCTTTGAAACCGTCATGCAAGCTGATGAAATCCGAAAGGCGAATATGCTAAAATTGTAAGTTTCACGAAGGAAATGGGACGATTTTGTGCTTTAAAAGCCCCTTGGAAAGCTTTTTGGGGTGCCTTGGGGGTCTTCAGGGCCGTCCTGACGCAATTGGAGTCTCTCTGGGAGCGCTCTTGTGCTGCCTGGGGCCTCCCGTAAGCCTTTCTGATGACTCCTCGGATCGCTCTGGGTCTGCTGACAAGGCGTTTGTGGAGACCCGGAAAGCCGGGTGACCTTTTCCAAGAACGTCCAAGGGAGCCCGATAACCCCAGATCCTGGGGGTCCAGTTTTTTTTCGGGTGGTGATGGGTTTTTCCCCCCCTGGGCTTGTAAAAATATAGGAAGAGGTGTATAATATATATAGATATATTATATATAATATAATATATATACATATATGCATATATATATTATATATATATATATATATATATATATATATATGGTGAGGTCTTGCACTGAGATCTCCAACGTGATGTTTTTGTTGTTCTGTTCTCTAGCGGATTTCTTACATAAAGCTCCCACGCAAGAAATCCTTTTTGTAAGGCCGCCACACAGGGAATTCTTTTGTAAGGCCGCCACAAACGCCACGGGCGGGCAGGCGAAAATGCAAAAAAATACAAAAAATGCTGAAAAAAAACAAAGAAAACCAACGACATCCTAAGAAAACCATGCGAAAAAGCTGCAAAACCTAAGGAACACCAAGGTTTTGACAGCTGGTGACCACGACACCTGTGAAAACACAGTGTTTCGTGACGTCGATGAGCCAAAACAATGTGTTTTCATAGGTTTGGTGGCTATCAGGCGTCCAAAACTTTGGTTTTCCTTAGGTTTTGGAGCTTTTCCGTTGGTTTTCTTAGGATGTCATTGGTTTTCTTTGCTTTTTTAGTTTGTTTTTTTGCCTTTTTTGCATTTTCGCTTGTTCGCGCCGTGGCGCTGCGCCGGCCCTCGCGCCGCCAGGGGCGGGCAGGCGAAAATGCAAAAACTGCAAAAACACACACAAAAAAAACAAAGATAACCAATGACATCCTAAGAAAACCATGCGAAAAAGCTGCAAGCCCTAAGGAAAACCAAGGTTTTTGGACAAGCTGGTGACCACGAAACCTGTGAAAACACAGTGTTTCGTGACGTCGATGAGCCAAAACAATGTGTTTTCATAGGTTTGGCGGCTATCAGGCGTTCAAAACTTTGGTTTCCCTTAGGTTTTGGAGCTTTTTTCGCTTGGTTTTCTTAGGATGTCATTGGTTTTATTTTTTTATTTTTTATTTATTTTTTTTTGCCTTTTTTCGCCTTTTTTGCATTTTCGCTTGATCGCGCCGTGGCGCTGCGCCGGCCCTCGCGCCGCCAGGGGCGGGCAAGCGAAAATGCAAAAAAGGCAAAAAAAGGCGAAAAAAACAAAGAAAACCAATGACATCCTAAGACAACCAAGCGAAAAAGCTGCAAAACCTAAGGAAAACCAAGGTTTTGGCAAGCTGAGCTTGCCACAAAAGGAATCCATTTGTAATTCGCCACAAAAGGAATCCATTTGTAATCCGCCACAAAAGGAATTCCTTTGTATTCCGCCACAAAAGGAATCCATTTGGATTCCGCCACAGAAGGAATCAATGTTTAATTCGTTACAACAGGAATCCAATTGTAATCCCCCACAACAGGAATGCAGTTGTAATCCGCATCAAAAGGAATCCATTTGAAAATGGGTACACAAGAAATCCATCGATACAGAGCCAAAAGGAAGCCAATAGAAGAATGAGAGGGAGCCAAGAGGGAGCCAAAAGATAGCCAAGAGGATCTTGCTGAAGGTTTTGAAAAAGGGGGGATTGCTAGCGCTTACCGCTGCCCACGAGGGCTTCTTGAGGATGTGAAAAGGGGGAAATTATGTGTATTTTTTGACAATTTCTGCGGGGGGTGGAGCACACGAGCATGACATTTTGGGGCGCCTGGCGCAAAACATCGTTGTCGTATATGTAAGTTTCAACGCTACGTTTAGCACTTTTCGAGGGTATGTGTTTCCTAAAAAATTGGAGTGCCGATTTGGGGGTGTCTTTGGGGTGCCTTTCGGGTGCTTTCCGGGTGCCTTGACAATGAAATCTTGGGTCGCTTGGAGCAAAGCGTTGTTTGCTCAATTTCAGATGTCAATTGCAAATGCAACACTTTTGGAAGATGTGTTGTTTCTTGAAATTTGGTGCGGGCAATTTGCGGCTGCTTTTGGGGTGCATAGCGGGTGCCTTGGGGGTGTTTTGCGGGAGCCTTGACCATGCAATCATTGGCTCGTTTTGACCAAAGCGTTGATTTCTTAGTCGCACATTTCAATAGCACATGTCGTATTCTTCGAGGAGATATGTTGTTCCAGGATTTTTGCGTGGGCGATTTGCGAGTGCCTTTGGGGTGCCTTTCGGGCGCCTTGCAAAGGGAGCCAAGAGGAGCTTGCCCAAGGTTTTGAAAAAGGGGGGATTGCTAGCGCTTACCGCTGCCCACGAGGGCTTCTTGAGGATGTGAAAAGGGGGAAATGATGTGCATTTGTTTGACAATTTCTGCGGGGGGTGGAGCGCGCAAGCGTGACATGTTGGGGCGCCTGGCGCAAAACATCGTTGTCGTATATGTAAGTTCCAACGCTGCGTTTAGCACTTTTCGAGGGTATGTGTTTCCTAAAAAAAATGGAGTGCCGATTTGGGGGTGCCTTTCGGATGCTTTCCGGGTGCCTTGACAATGAAATCTTGGGTCGCTTGGAGCAAAGCGTTGTTTTCTCAACTTCAGATGTCAATTGCAAATGCAACACGTTTGGAAGATTTGTTGTTTCTTGAAATTTGGTGCGGGCAATTTGCGGCTGCCTTTGGGGTGCATAGCGGGTGCCTTGAGAGTAGAGGCAATATTTTCATCCCGCGGGGGGGGGGGGGGGGGCGGGCCCAAATCGCGCGATGCTCAGGACATCTGGGAATGTGAGATTAGATTTTTGTGTAGTGATATGGTTTGACGGGGCCCAGATAGGATTTGATTCGTAACAATAAGAAAAAGTTATTTTTGCTCTGCCTAGGCACCCGACGAGAGCGTCGAGGGCGATGCAGACGGCGACGTGGTGAACAGCGACGTCGACATTGGCGGCGAACACCCCAGTCTCGACGACATTGACATGAGCGATGTGTCGTCGGAGACCTTCCCCTACGACATCGATCTCCTGGACGATGCGTTCGACGAGGGCAAGGACTCGGAAGAGGAAGGCGAGTTGCCAGAGCAGGAATCTGAGGATGAGCTCGTGGAGGAGTTTACATACTCAGACGGTATTCTGACAGACGTTCCTCCTTCTGGGGACCTTCTGTGCGACGGTGACGACGGCGCTGCAGACCACTCCGAGGGATTGCCGCCGCCCCCGCCCTCGCCAACAGATGCTCTGGGCGGCGCTACAGGAGCAGCCAAAAAGCGACCCGCCGCGGCTATATCACGCGCAGGGGGCAATTGCACCCCCAAGAAGGGGAAAGCCAGGATGCATGCTCGCCCGAAGAAGTTGTGCAAGGAGAAGTGGTCCAGTGTATGGAAAAAGACACCGTATGTTCGCCACGGCATTACTGCGCGATCTCGCAGAGATCGTGCCACCTGGGCTTCGAATATGAACGATATCTTGGCGGCCAGTGAGAAGGCTTTGATTTCGCGCCTCACCAGGGGTGGTTTCCTGAAGAACTGGACTCAGTGTCATTGCCCGCATTGCGGCGAGGAGCGGGTCGGCCCGCTTCAGCAGCGCGCCAGCGGTACCTGGGCATATAGGTGCACCAAACGCGGCTGTCAGCGATGCATCCTCCCTCATGCCGAGCACCCCGTTTTCACGGCGGGCTGGGGGCGCACTTCGAAACCGCTCCGAAGCCAGGTGCGGGTCCTATTCGGGCTCATCGTGGGCTTGACTCACTCGCAGAATCACTTATTCTGGGGGGACAGCGCCTGGTTCATCAGCGAGATGTCGAAGCGACTCGACGCGGTCCTGGCGAAGGACGTTGCCGACCGAGAGAAACGCATCAAATTTGGAGACACTGTCAAGAAGGAGTGGCGCGACGCCGAGGCGGACGAGGTCGACTTGGGCAAAGAGTTCGTCACCGACAACGCCAAGGACAACCTCAGATGGCTCCAGTGGGCTGGCATAGTCGAGCGGGGCAGACCAAGCAGCTTGGCACTTTTCCGAACGAAGCCTAAACTTACAAGCAGGAGGGCTCCTGGCCCTGAACCCATCAAGAAATCAGATTGGTACCCCATGGCGAAAAAGTGGTTGAAGGGGCGCAAGATTCTCTTGCACACTGACGGCGCCCGCTCATACAAGCTGGGGCTGAACCGAAAGAACACCTTGGATGGCGTCATCCACGATTACGTCACCCACAAGCCCAAGAAAGACGGGAAGCTCCTGCGCCCCAAATACGTGCAGCTCTTCGCCCACGACATAGATGGGTCCACCACGTACACAAAAGGTGGGACCCAGATAATTGATCGGTGTTGGCAGCATATTCGGAAGTTTGTGGGCAGGCGATCCGCCGCGGGCTCATCCCAGAAGAGGATGGATGCGCGCGCGCTGCACAGTGGGCCTATTGGCACCAAGACGACGATTTGTTCTTGAGAGCAGGAGAAGCTTTTCGGCGTCGCTGCTGAACTGACACTGCATTTCTGAGTTCGCACTCGCATCCTTTGAGCAAAAACAACAGATTTGGAGATCTCAGTGCTAGACCTGAGCATATATTTATATACATACATATATATATACATATATATATATGAATCTGAATATATATATATATATATATATATGTAAATATATACTCACATATATATATATATATACATATATATATATACACGTGGCACGTGTGCCCAGGCTCATACAAAAACTGAAGGGGTGTTTGAAGCAGGAGTGAAATGCAACATCGAAGTCGCACTCGAGCGCAAGTGGGGTCGCCACACCTTGCGATGCGTGTACCAGGACCCCCCAGGAAGCCTCAGGAGGCCCGACTTGGATACCAGAAGAGGCTCCAGGAGGCCCCAGGATTGTGAGTGTTGTGCGTGTGTGTGTGTGTGTGTGTGTGTGTGTGTGTGTGTGTGTGTGTGTGTGTGTGTGTGTGTGTTTGTGTGTGTGATGTATGTTTTGTGTGGTGCGTGCTTTTTGTGTGTTGTAGGTGTTGTGTGTGTGTTATGTTTGTCTAGCGTGTGATGTGTTGGGCGTGATTTGTGTCTCTGTGTGCATGTAGTTCTGAAGCCCCAGGAGGCCCCAGGAAGCCCCAGGCTGCCTCAGGAGGCCCCAGGAGACCCCAGGAGGCTTCAGGAGGCCCCAAGAGGCTCCAGGAGGCCGCAGGAAGCCCCAGGAGGCCCCAGGAGGTTTCAGGAGACCCCCAGGAGGCTCCGAGGCGGGGTCTGGGGTGCCAGAAGGTTCATAAAGCCCCAGGAGGCCCCAGGAGGTTCCAGGAGGCCCTCAGGAGGCTCCGAGGCGGGATCTGGGGCTCGATTTTGGAATGATTTTTCAAGCGAAACCGCCATTCCCTGAGAATCGGGGTCACAATGATTGAAATTACCATGTGTTTGTAAGGCCGCCGCAAACGCCACGGGCGGGAGGCGAAAATGCAAAAAAATACAAAACATGCTGGAAAAAAAAAAAAAAAAAAAAAAAAAAAAAAAAAAAAAAAAAAAAAAAAAAAAAAAAAAAAAAAAAAAAAAAAAAAAAAAAAAAAAAAAAAAAACTACATCCTAAGACAACCATGCGAAAAAGCTGCAAAACCTAAGGAACACCAAGGTTTTGACAGCTGGTGACCACGACACCTTTGAAAACACAGTGTTTCGTGACGTCGATGAGCCAAAACAATGTGTTTTCATAGGTTTGGTGGCTATCAGGCGTCCAAAACTTTGGTTTTCCTTAGGTTGTGGAGCTTTTCCGCTTGGTTTTCTTAGGATGTCATTGGTTTTCTTTGCTTTTTTTTTTTTGTTTTTTGTTTTTTTTTTTTTTTTTTTTTTTTTGCATTTTCGCTTGTTCCGCGCCGTGGCGCTGCGCGGTCCCTCGCGCCGCCAGGGGCGGGCAAGCGAAACAATGCAAAAAACTGCAAAAAAAAAAAAAAAAAAAAAAAAAAAAACCAACGACATCTTAAGAAAACCATGCGAAAAAGCTGCAAAACCCTAGGAAAACCAAGGTTTTTGGCAAGATGGTGACCACGAAACCTATGAAAAACAAGTTTCGTGACGTCGATGAGCCAAAACATGTGTTTTCACAGGTTTGGGCGGCTACAGGCGTTCAAAACTTTCGGTTTTCCTTCGGTTTTGGAGTTTTTTCGCTTGGTTTTTCTTAGGATGTTCATTATATAATATAGATATATATATAATATATTATATATAGCCTTTTGCCTTTTTTGCATTTCGCTTGATCGCGGCCGTGGCGCTGCGCCGGCCCTCGCGCCGCCAGGGGCGGGCAAGCGGGGCAAGCGAAATGCAAAAATATACAAAAAAAGGACACAAAACAAAAAAAAAAAAAAAAAAAAAAAGAGCGAGGAGAGAGAGAGGAGAGAGAGGAGATTGAGAGAGAGGAGAGACGAGAGAGAGAGAGAGAGAGAGAGAGAGAGAGAAAACCAATGACATCCTAAGACAACCAAGCGAAAAAAGCTGCACAACCTAAGGAAAACAAAGGTTTTGGCAAGCTGAGCTTGCCACAAGAGGAATCCATTTGTAATTCGCCACAAAAGGAATCCATTTGTAATCCGCCACAAAAGGAATTCCTTTGTATTCCGCCACAAAAGGAATCCATTTGGATTCCGCCACAGAAGGAATCAATGTTTAATTCGTTACAACAGGAATCCAATTGTAATCCCCCACAACAGGAATGCAGTTGTAATCCGCATCAAAAGGAATCCATTTGAAAATGGGTACACAAGAAATCCATCGATACAGAGCCAAAAGGAAGCCAATAGAATAATGAGAGGGAGCCAAGAGGGAGCCAAAAGATAGCCAAGAGGATCTTGCTGAAGGTTTTGAAAAAGGGGGGATTGCTAGCGCTTACCGCTGCCCACGAGGGCTTCTTGAGGATGTGAAAAAGGAGGAAATTATGTATATTTTTTGACAATTTCTGCGGGGGGTGGAGCACACAAGCATGACATTTTGGGGCGCCTGGCGCAAAACATCGTTGTCGTATATGTAAGTTTCAACGCTACGTTTAGCACTTTTCGAGGGTATGTGTTTCCTTAAAAAATTGGAGTGCCGATTTGGGGGTGTCTTTGGGGTGCCTTTCGGGTGCTTTCCGGGTGCCTTGACAATGAAATCTTGGGTCGCTTGGAGCAAAGCGTTGTTTTCTCAATTTCAGATGTCAATTGCAAATGCAACACTTTTGGAAGATGCGTTGTTTCTTGAAATTTGGTGTGGGCAATTTGCGGCTGCTTTTGGGGTGCATAGCGGGTGCCTTGGGGGTGCTTTGCGGGAGCCTTGACCATGCAATCATTGGCTCGTTTTGACCAAAGCGTTGATTTCTTAGTTGCACATTTCAATAGCACATGTCGTATTCTTCGAGGAGATATGTTGTTCCAGGATTTTTGCGCGGGCGATTTGCGAGTGCCTTTGGGGTGCCTTTCGGGCGCCTTGCAAAGGGAGCCAAGAGGAGCTTGCCCAAGGTTTTGAAAAAGGGGGGATTGCTAGCGCTTACCGCTGCCCACGAGGGCTTCTTGAGGATGTGAAAAGGGGGGAATTATGCGCATTTGTTTGACAATTTCTGCGGGGGGTGGAGCGCGCAAGCATGACATTTTGGGGCGCCTGGCGCAAAACATCGTTGTCGTATATGTAAGTTTCAACGCTACGTTTAGCACTTTTCGAGGGTATGTGTTTCCTTAAAATTGGAGTGCCGATTTGGGGGTGTCTTTGGGGTGCCTTTCGGGTGCTTTCCGGGTGCCTTGACAATGAAATCTTGGGTCGCTTGGAGCAAAGCGTTGTTTTCTCAATTTCAGATGTCAATTGCAAATGCAACACTTTTGGAAGATGTGTTGTTTCTTGAAATTTGGTGCGGGCAATTTGCGGCTGCCTTTGGGGTGCATAGCGGGTGCCTTGAGAGTAGAGGCAATATTTTCATCCCGCGGGGGGGGGGGGGGGGCGGGCCCAAATCGCGCGATGCTCAGGACAACTGGGAATGTGAGATTAGATTTTTGTGTAGTGATATGGTTTGACGGGGCCCAGATAGGATTTGATTCGTAACAATAAGAAAATGTTATTTTTGCTCTGCCTAGGCACCCGACGAGAGCGTCGAGGGCGACGCAGACGGCGACGTGGTGAACAGCGACGTCGACATTGGTGGCGAACACCCCAGTCTCGACGACATTGACATGAGCGATGTGTCGTCGGAGACCTTCCCCTGCGACATCGATCTCCTGGACGATGCGTTCGACGAGGGCAAGGACTCGGAAGAGGAAGGCGAGTTGCCAGAGCAGGATTCTGAGGATAAGCTCGTGGAGGAGTTTACATACTCAGACGGTATTCTGACAGACGTTCCTCCTTCTGGGGACCTTCTGTGCGACGATGACGACGACGCTGCAGACCACTCCGAGGGATTGCCGCCGTCCCCGCCCTCGCCACCAGATGCTCTGGGCGGCGCTACAGGAGCAGCCAAAAAGCGACCCGCCGCGGCCATATCATGCGCAGGGGGCAATTGCACCCCCAAGAAGGGGAAAGCCAGGATGCACGCTCGCCCGAAGAAGTTGTGCAAGGAGAAGTGGTCCAGTGTATGGAAAAAGACACCGTATGTTCGCCACGGCATAACTGCGCGATCTCGCAGAGATCGTGCCACCTGGGCTTCGAATATGAACGATATCTTGGCGGCCAGTGAGAAGGCTTTGATTTCGCGCCTCACCAGGGATGGTTTCCTGAAGAATTGGGCTCAGTGTCATTGCCCGCATTGCGGCGAGGAGCGGGTCGGCCCGCTTCAGCAGCGCGCCAGCGGTACCTGGGCATATAGGTGCACCAAACGCGGCTGTCAGCGATGCATCCTCCCTCATGCCGAGCACCCCGTTTTCACGGCGGGCTGGGGGCGCACTTCGAAACCGCTCCGAAGCCAGGTGCGGGCCCTATTCTGGCTCATCGTGGGCTTGACTCACTCGCAGAATCACTTACTCTGGGGGGACAGCGCCTGGTTCATCAGCGAGATGTCGAAGCGACTCGACGCGGTCCTGGCGAAGGACGTTGCCGACCGAGAGAAACGCATCAAATTTGGAGACATTGTCAAGAAGGAGTGGCGCGACGTCGAGGCGGACGAGGTCGATTTGGGCAAAGAGTTCGTCACCGACAACGCCAAGGACAAACTCAGATGGCTCCAGTGGGCTGGCATAGTCGAGCGGGGCAGACCAAGCAGCTTGGTACTTTTCCGAACGAAGCCTAAACTTACAAGCAGGAGGGCTCCTGGCCCTGAACCCATCAAGAAATCAGATTGGTACCCCATGGCGAAAAAGTGGTTGAAGGGGCGCAAGATTCTCTTGCACACTGACGGCGCCCGCTCATACAAGCTGGGGCTGAACCGAAAGAACACCTTGGATGGCGTCATCCACGATTACGCCACCCACAAGCCCAAGAAAGACGGGAAGTTCCTGCGCCCCAAATACGTGCAGCTCTTCGCCCACGACATAGATGGGTCCACCACGTACACAAAAGGTGGGACCCAGATAATTGATCGGTGTTGGCAGCATATTCGGAAGTTTGTGGGCAGGCGATCCGCCGCGGGCTCATCCCAGAAGAGGATGGATGCGCGCGCGCTGCACAGTGGGCCTATTGGCACCAAGACGACGATTTGTTCTTGAGAGCAGGAGAAGTTTTTCGGCGTCGCTGCTGAACTGACACTGCATTTCTGAGTTCGCACTCGCATCCTTTGAGCAAAAACAACATATTTGGAGATCTCAGTGCTAGACCTGAGCATAGATTTATATACATACATATATATACATATATATATATATATGATTCTGAATATATATATATATATATATATATATATATATATATATATATATATCTGTAATATGTTATGTTAATTATATTCTCAAACATATATTACAGTTATATTATATATTACCAAGTGGGCAACGTGTGTCGTGCCCAGGGCGGTCATACAAAAAACATGAAGGGGGTGTTTGATAAGAGGGTGAAATTGCAACAATCGAAGTCGCACTCGAGCGCAAGTGGGGTCGCCACACCTTGCGATGTGTGTACCAGGACCCCCCAGGAAGCCTCAGGAGGCCCGACTTGGATACCAGAAGAGGCTCCAGGAGGCCCCAGGATTGTGAGTGTTGTGCGTGTGTGTGTGTGTGTGTGTGTGTGTGTGTGTTTGTGTGTGTGATGTATGTTTTGTGTGGTGCGTGCTTTTTGTGTGTTGTAGGTGTTGTGTGTGTGTTATGTTTGTCTAGCGTGTGATGTGTTGGGCGTGATTTGCGTCTCTGTGTGCATGTAGTTCTGAAGCCCCAGGAGGCCCCAGGAAGCCCCAGGCTGCCTCAGGAGGCCCCAGGAGACCCCAGGAGGCTTCAGGAGGCCCCAAGAGGCTCCAGGAGGCCGCAGGAAGCCCCAGGAGGCCCCAGGAGGTTTCAGGAGACCCCCAGGAGGCTCCGAGGCGGGGTCTGGGGTGCCAGAAGGTTCAGAAAGCCCCAGGAGGCCCCAGGAGGTTCCAGGAGGCCCTCAGGAGGCTCCGAGGCGGGATCTGGGGCTCGATTTTGGAATGATTTTTCAAGCGAAACCGCCATTCCCTGAGAATCGGGGTCACAATTATTGAAATTACCATGTGTTTGTAAGGCCGCCGCAAACGCCACGGGCGGGCATGCGAAAATGCAAAAAAAATGCAAAACATGTTTGAGAAAAAAAAAAAAAAAAAAAAAAAAAAAAACGCCATCCTAAGAAAACCATGCGAAAAAGCTGCAACACCTAAGGAACACCAAGGTTTTGACAGCTGGTGACCACGACACCTGTGAAAACACAGTGTTTCGTGACGTCGAGGAGCCAAAACAATCTGTTTTCATAGGTTTGGTGGCTATCAGGCGTCCAAAACTTTGGTTTTCCTTAGGTTTTGGAGCTTTTCCGCTTGGTTTTCTTAGGATGTCATTGGTTTTCTTTGCTTTTTTAGTTTTTTTTTACTTTTTTTGCATTTTCGCTTGTTCGCGCCGCGGCGCTGCGCCGGCCCTCGCGCCGCCGGGGGCGGGCAGGCGAAAATGCAAAAAAAAAAAAAAAAAAAAAAAAAAAAAAAAAAAAACAAGATAACCGATGACATCCTAAGAAAACCATGCGAAAAAGCTGCAAACCCTAAGGAAAACAAAAGTTTTTGGACAAGCTGGTGACCACGAAACCTGTGAAAACACAGTGTTTCGTGACGTCGATGAGCCAAAACAATGTGTTTTCACAGGTTTGGCGGCTATCAGGCGTTAAAAATATATGGTTTTCCTTAGGTTTTGGAGCTTTTTTCGCTTGGTTTTCTTATCAAGATGTTGCTCCCGCCCCCCCCCCTCCCCTTTTTTCGCCTTTTTTTTTTTTTTTTGCATTTTCGCTTGATCGCGCCGTGGCGCTGCGCCGGCCCTCGCGCCGCCAGGGGCGGGCAAGCGAAAATACAAAAAAGACAAAAAAAAAAAAAATGACATCCTAAGACAACCAAGCGAAAAAGCTGCAAACCCGAAGGAAAACCAAGGTTTTGGCAAGCTGAGCTTGCCACAAAAGGAATCCATTTGTAATTCGCCACAAAAGGAATCCATTTGTAATCCGCCACAAAAGGAATTCCTTTGTATTCCGCCACAAAAGGAATCCATTTGGATTCCGCCACAGAAGGAATCAATGTTTAATTCGTTGCAACAGGAATCCAATTGTAATCCCCCACAACAGGAATGCAGTTGTAATCCGCATCAAAAGGAATCCATTTGAACATGGGTACACAAGAAATCCATCGATACAGAGCCAAAAGGAAGCCAATAGAATAATGAGAGGGAGCCAAGAGGGAGCCAAAAGATAGCCAAGAGGATCTTGCTGAAGGTTTTGAAAAAGGGGGGATTGCTAGCGCTTACCGCTGCCCACGAGGGCTTCTTGAGGATGTGAAAAGGGGGAAATTATGTGTATTTGTTTGACAATTTCTGCGGGGGGTGGAGCACACAAGCATGACATTTTGGGGCGCCTGGCGCAAAACATCGTTGTCGTATATGTAAGTTTCAACGCTACGTTTAGCACTTTTCGAGGGTATGTGTTTCCTAAAAAATTGGAGTGCCGATTTGGGGGTGTCTTTGGGGTGCCTTTCGGGTGCTTTCCGGGTGCCTTGACAATGAAATCTTGGGTCGCTTGGAGCAAAGCGTTGTTTGCTCAATTTCAGATGTCAATTGCAAATGCAACACTTTTGGAAGATGTGTTGTTTCTTGAAATTTGGTGCGGGCAATTTGCGGCTGCCTTTGGGGTGCATAGCGGGTGCTTGGGGGTGCTTTGCGGGAGCCTTGACCATGCAATCATTGGCTCGTTTTGACCAAAGCGTTGATTTCTTAGTTGCACATTTCAATAGCACATGTCGTATTCTTCGAGGAGATATGTTGTTCCAGGATTTTTGCGTGGGCGATTTGCGAGTGCCTTTGGGGTGCCTTTCGGGCGCCTTGCAAAGGGAGCCAAGAGGAGCTTGCCCAAGGTTTTGAAAAAGGGGGGATTGCTAGCGCTTACCGCTGCCCACGAGGGCTTCTTGAGGATGTGAAAAGGGGGAAATGATGTGCATTTGTTTGACAATTTCTGCGGGGGGTGGAGCGCGCAAGCGTGACATGTTGGGGCGCCTGGCGCAAAACATCGTTGTCGTATATGTAAGTTCCAACGCTGCGTTTAGCACTTTTCGAGGGTATGTGTTTCCTAAAAAAAATGGAGTGCCGATTTGGGGGTGCCTTTCGGATGCTTTCCGGGTGCCTTGACAATGAAATCTTGGGTCGCTTGGAGCAAAGCGTTGTTTTCTCAACTTCAGATGTCAATTGCAAATGCAACACGTTTGGAAGATTTGTTGTTTCTTGAAATTTGGTGCGGGCAATTTGCGGCTGCCTTTGGGGTGCATAGCGGGTGCCTTGAGAGTAGAGGCAATATTTTCATCCCGCGGGGGGGGGGGGGGGGGGGGGGGGGGGGCCCCCGGGGGGCCCAAATCGCGCGATGCTCAGGACATCTGGGAATGTGAGATTAGATTTTTGTGTAGTGATCTGGTTTGACGGGGCCCAGATAGAATTTGATTCGTAACAATAAGAAAAAGTTATTTTTGCTCTGCCTAGGCACCCGACGAGAGCGTCGAGGGCGATGCAGACGGCGACGCGGTGAACAGCGACGTCGACATTGGCGGCGAACACCCCAGTCTCGACGACATTGACATGAGCGATGTGTCGTCGGAGACCTTCCCCTACGACATCGATCTCCTGGACGATGCGTTCGACGAGGGCAAGGACTCGGAGGAGGAAGGCGAGTTGCCAGAGCAGGAATCTGAGGATGAGCTCGTGGAGGAGTTTACATACTCAGACGGTATTCTGACAGACGTTCCTCCTTCTGGGGACCTTCTGTGCGACGATGACGACGACGCTGCAGACCACTCCGAGGGATTGCCGCCGTCCCCGCCCTCGCCAACAGATGCTCTGGGCGGCGCTACAGGAGCAGCCAAAAAGCGACCCGCCGCGGCTATATCATGCGCAGGGGGCAATTGCACCCCCAAGAAGGGGGAAGCCAGGATGCATGCTCGCCCGGAGAAGTTGTGCAAGGAGAAGTGGTCCAGTGTATGGAAAAAGACACCGTATGTTCGCCACGGCATAACTGCGCGATCTCGCAGAGATCGTGCCACCTGGGCTTCGAATATGAACGATATCTTGGCGGCCAGTGAGAAGGCTTTGATTTCGCGCCTCACCAGGGATGGTTTCCTGAAGAATTGGACTCAGTGTCATTGCCCGCATTGCGGCGAGGAGCGGGTCGGCCCGCTTCAGCAGCGCGCCAGCGGTACCTGGGCATATAGGTGCACCAAACGCGGCTGTCAGCGATGCATCCTCCCTCATGCCGAGCACCCCGTTTTCACGGCGGGCTGGGGGCGCACTTCGAAACCGCTCCGAAGCCAGGTGCGGGTCCTATTCGGGCTCATCGTGGGCTTGACTCACTCGCAGAATCACTTACTCTGGGGGGACAGCGCCTGGTTCATCAGCGAGATGTCGAAGCGACTCGACGCGGTCCTGGCGAAGGACGTTGCCGACCGAGAGAAACGCATCAAATTTGGAGACACTGTCAAGAAGGAGTGGCGCGACGTCGAGGCGGACGAGGTCGACTTGGGCAAAGAGTTCGTCACCGACAACGCCAAGGACAAACTCAGATGGCTCCAGTGGGCTGGCATAGTCGAGCGGGGCAGACCAAGCAGCTTGGTACTTTTCCGAACGAAGCCTAAACTTACAAGCAGGAGGGCTCCTGGCCCTGAACCCATCAAGAAATCAGATTGGTACCCCATGGCGAAAAAGTGGTTGAAGGGGCGCAAGATTCTCTTGCACACTGACGGCGCCCGCTCATACAAGCTGGGGCTGAACCGAAAGAACACCTTGGATGGCGTCATCCACAATTACGTCACCCGCAAGCCCAAGAAAGACGGGAAGTTCCTGCGCCCCAAATACGTGCAGCTCTTCGCCCACGACATAGATGGGTCCACCACGTACACAAAAGGTGGGGCCCAGATAATTGATCGGTGTTGGCAGCATATTCGGAAGTTTGTGGGCAGGCGATCCGCCGCGGGCTCATCCCAGAAGAGCATGGATGCGCGCGCGCTGCACAGTGGGCCTATTGGCACCAAGACGACGATTTGTTCTTGAGAGCAGGAGAAGCTTTTCGGCGTCGCTGCTGAACTGACACTGCATTTCTGAGTTCGCACTCGCATCCTTTGAGCAAAAACAGCATATTTGGAGATCTCAGTGCTAGACCTGAGCATATATTTATATACATACATATATATATACATATATAAATATGAATCTGAATATATATATATATATATGTAAATATATATTCACATAACTATATATACATATATTTATACACGTGGCACGTGTGTGCCCAGGCTCATACAATAACTGAAGGGGTGTTTGAAGCAGGAGTGAAATGCAACATCGAAGTCGCACTCGAGCGCAAGTGGGGTCGCCACACCTTGCGATGTGTGTACCAGGACCCCCCAGGAAGCCTCAGGAGGCCCGACTTGGATACCAGAAGAGGCTCCAGGAGGCCCCAGGATTGTGAGTGTTGTGTGTGTGTGTGTTTGTGTGTGTGTGATGTATGTTTTGTGTGGTGCGTGCTTTTTGTGTGTTGTAGGTGTTGTGTGTGTGTGTTATGTTTGTCTAGCGTGTGATGTGTTGGGCGTGATTTGTGTCTCTGTGTGCATGTAGTTCTGAAGCCCCAGGAGGCCCCAGGAAGCCCCAGGCTGCCTCAGGAGGCCCCAGGAAACCCCAGGAGGCTTCAGGAGGCCCCAAGAGGCTCCAGGAGGCCGCAGGAAGCCCCAGGAGGCCCCGGGAGGTTTCAGGAGACCCCCAGGAGGCTCCGAGGCGGGGTCTGGGGTGCCAGAAGGTTCAGAAAGCCCCAGGAGGCCCCAGGAGGTTCCAGGAGGCCTTCAGGAGGCTCCGAGGCGGGATCTGGGGATCGATTTTGGAATGATTTTTCAAGCGAAACCGCCATTCCCTGAGAATCGGGGTCACAATTATTGAAATTACCATGTGTTCTTGAAGGTTTTATGTTAAAATGTTGAAATCCCCATGTGTTTTTGGACCCTGACGTCACGATCTGCGTGAGGGGTGCCACCGATTTTCAGAATTCCGAGGATGTCCCGAGCGAAACGCCCAGAAAAATCGCGGACGCGTGCGCATTAATCGCCTCTGAGCTCTACTCCCTCGGAGAGGTGCGTATGACATACCATATAGTATAATAATATATATATATGAATAATATAATCTATATATATATATATATACATAATAATATATATATCTATATATATACATCGATTTCGCCGCTCGGGGCCCTGTGCCTTCCCCGCTGGACGCGCCGCCGATCGGAGGGGATCGGCCAATGGCCGACGGCCCGCAGCACCGGCTCGCGAGCATGCAGCCGGAAGGGGCGCCGACCGAGGAGCCGTCGGGGAGCGTCGTCGTCGCCGTCGCCGTTCGGGGGCCCCCAAAACGGCGCAGTGACCACGCCGCGTGGTGAGACAGGGGGGATGCGGGGTCTGCGGGCGTTTTCGTCGGTTCCCGGAGGCTTTCTTTTGTTTCGGGATGCGTTCCAGCAGCTGCGCCTCGCCGAGAGCGTTACGGGTCCTCCCAGATCGTCCGGACAGGCCGCCGGAGTTCCGCGTTATGTTGCGGAATCTGGGGTCAGCGTGTGGTTGTGGGGTTCGGGGCGTTCTCCGATGGTGATTTGGACGACTGGGGCCTCCATGGTGTCCAAGCCCAGAGCCTTGAATCGTGTGGTGACGGACCGCGCGGTGAGGTCGTCGGGGATCCCGAGGTCACAAGGCGGTCCGTCACCACACGGCTTGTGGCCCCGAAGAGTTCAGCGGGCTGTGTGCGGAGGGCCACCCTGAAGAGCAGAGAGATCTCGAGGGAGAGGTCCTGAGAATTCGCGAACGTTCGTTTTGCGATGTTCGGCGGCGCGCCGAGGGGGGGAGCAAGATGGGGGGGGCAGGCCTTCCAAGAGGTCGGCGAGGCTTCTCAGAGACCTTCGCGCCTTCCGAGAAGCCGTCCGCGGCTTCGAGGGAGGCTCAGGAGGTTTCTCGGAAGGCGGAAGGCCTTCTGAGCCTCCCGAGAGGCCCAGCCACTTCCGCCTTCCCCCTTTGTGCGCGCCGACGATGTGAGGGAGACGAGATCCCGAGAAGTTGCGAAGGTTCGGTTGGCGGTTGGCTTCGCGCGCTTGCCAGTCGGGGTCCGAGAGGAGGGCGTCGGAGGATCGCCCCGCATCACAGATGAACCAGCGATGCATCGCCGCGCTGTTTTCCACGCTGACGGCGCCGATGCATCGCCCACGTCGCCGATGCATCAGCGATGCTCCCGCGACGCGGTGCGATCGCCCGACCCCATCTACTCGGAACCCATCTGGGGGGCCTTGCGAGTGTGCGAACGTTCGGTCTGGACGTTATCGTTCACAACTCCCCGCCTTTGTCTGAGCCTGTTTCTACTCTTCCAGATCACTGAACCAGCTCGTCATTCGTTGCTGGCTGTGCTGGCCATTCCAAGTGGTCTGAATTTCCGTTACAGGCGCATGCATGGCACAATGGTTCTGACCATTGCCCGAATGGAGCCCTTATAATGCTTATACTTGCTATTATAACTACTAAGTCTTCCCAGTGTTTCCCTACGTAGGCTCTGCCTAGAAGGGTTCTTACTCGGTAAGCTTAAAGGGCCGGGCAATGGGACCCGCCCCGGGCGGTTCCCCCAGTATCCGCCCCTTGGTTCCCCCAGTTACGTCCCCTTAGCTCAGCGTTGCTTATCTCATCTTAGCTTAGCCTAGCTTAACTTAGCTTAGCCTAGCTTAGCCTAGACTAGCCTAGCTTAGCTTAGCTTAGCTGAGCTTGTCGTAGCTTAGCTTTGCTTAGCTGAGCCTAGCCTAGCTTAGCTAAGCTTTAGCTTAGCTGTAGCTTAGCTTTAGCTTAGCGTTAGCTTAGCTTTAGCTTAGCTGTAGCATAGCTTCAGCTTAGATTTAGCTTAGCTTTATCTTAGCGTCAGCTTAGCTTTACCTTAGCTTTACCCTAGCTTTATATTTGATTTAACTTAGTTGTAGCTTAGCTTTAGCTTAGCTTCAGCTTAGCTTCAGTTTAGCTTCAGCTTAGCTTTAGCTTAGCTTTAGTTTAGCTTTAGCTTGACCTGGCTTAGCTTTAGCTTAGCGTTAGCTTAGCGTTAGCTTAGCTTTAGTTTAGCTGTAGCTTAGCTTTAGCTCAGCTTTAGCTCAGCTTTAGCTCAGCTTTACTGTTACTACTAATGCTGCGTTCCTAGGGGCTCCAACTCCTAGGTAGAGTCGCACTGGGATAAGTTAATGATCTCAGGCTTCCAAATCTGTCCATTTCTCCAGCAATTCAAACAACCGCTAACTCGTACACACACTTCAACTCGCCCCGCGTTTCTAATGTTTTGCTTCGACAAATCAACGGAGGATTCCAGCTAGTCTGACTACTACAAGCAGTAGACCATTCTAACCCGTCCAACTCCGATAGCTCGTATCACTCCGCCTTAAAGTTCCACCTACCATAATTCGTATCTTGCCTGTGGGTGTTCTAATTCGTCCACTTCTCCTGACTGTCTTGTCATGCTTCTAACGTTCTCGCATGGCCACGGGGCACCCATGAGGTCTTCGCACGGGACAGCCGCACAGGGCAGCCACGGGAGAACCGCGAGACAGCCAGAGCGCGACGAGAAAGCCCCTCTCGATTTCCCCCCATCCGCCTCTTCGGATGCTACCTTCTCGTGGCGCGATTGCAGCGATTCTTCGGAACTGATGTGCGCCAGCCGGTGGAAGCAAACCGAAGAGTGATACAGCCCCCACCCCCCCCAGATGGGATGGGTCCCAGGGTTCCACAGCCCCCCCCCCCAGATGGGATGGGGGGGAAGACGAGGACGACGGCGACGACGCCGACGCCGACGCCGACGCCGACGCCGACGACAACGGAAGGGGAAGACGATGACGACGACGACGACGACGACGCCGACGCCGACGCCGACGGGAGAAGACGACGCCGATGCCCATGCCGACGGAAGACGACGACGACGAACCACCCCCCAGCCACAGGGGAGGGGGGGCGGGCACTGGCACCTGACACCACGCCATGCCCACAGGGGGCCACGGCCACAGAGAGGGGGGCGGGGAGGGCCGCGATGCCACTCGTGAGGCCCTGCGGCCCCGGTCTCGGAGAGCTCTCGGCAGGAGCAGCGGAACGTGCACCCTCCGCCACGCCACGCCCACTAGGGTATAGCCAGGACCCCGGGTAAGGGGACCCGGTTAGTGGTAGGGCCGTGGGGCCCCTCAATTGGCCAGATTCACTAAACCAGGTTTGCCGTAATTGGTGTTTTTCGGGTGACGGCAGGGGGGGCGCCCCCGGTACAAATCCTTACACCAGGTTCCACTAAACCCAGTTCTGCCAACGCCCGACACAGGCCCACGACCGCAGAGGGGGGGGTAGCGATCCCGTTCCTGAGGCTGTCGCGAGGATCACGGGCGTGGGATCGATCCCAGGGGCATATGGGGGGGGGGAGGCAACCCTGGATCACACATGCCGCCCTGGGGCGGGACCTCTCTTTGTTGCTCTCGCGCAGCTTCGGCCTCCCTCCTGGTATCGCGACCCTTAATCTCACTCCAGTTCCGCGCCACCGAAGCTTCCAGGCCTTTGTGCGGTAAGTTCGTGTCGTGTCGACGCGGCGACGACCCCGCCGCGGGCGTTCAAGGTTGAACGCCGACGATAACCCGGAGTCGGCCACGATGGAACGATCTGGCGATCGAAAGGTTGCCGATCGTTCAAGGTTGAACGATTCACGCGATTACAGAAACCAACGCCGCTGTGCTCCGAAATTTAAACCCTGCCCTCTCCGATCAACTTCTCAGACAATTCGATGGGCGGCGGGGGTAGGGTTCGGCTTCGTCGAACACGTGGCGAAATCCGAGGTCTGTACCCGCCTCCCGTCGATTCAGGAGAATTGGTTGGTCGGGGCAGGGTTTGGATGACACCACCTATTCAGCTCATTCTTAGCTCCTTGTCGCGGAAGCTTCGATACCTTTGAGGCAGTATGTTTGTTTCGCGCATGGTACAGTTCGACATTGCGCATCGTCTCTCCGCCAAGACATCATCCAATCTCCCTCCCCGCATACAATATTGTCGTGTTTGGACCCTCGCGTCTTGCACAGTGGACGTCGGATCAAGCGTTGCAAACAATACCAAGGTAAAAGCGTTCCGATCGACAGCCAATGGGGATTCGACGCAATAGGAACGGGATTCAGATGTGGCGTTTGCGTGCTGAACTTGCTCTCGACTTATCTTCATATCTCACCCTCCGCATATCTCACTCAATACCTCATAGACCACCATTCGTCTGATAATGTTCAAGGAGGCCTGAGGAACTTGCATGTCCGTGTACATGTTGGTTTGCGTTTCGTTGTCATTGGATGTGCATTTCGATGTGCGATTCGATGGGCACTTTGATGTGCAGATCAGTTGTCGTTCCGAGGCGCATTTCGATGTGCATGTCGTTTTAATTTGGATGTCAGTTACGACCTGATTTCCCAGGGACAGCCACAAATCAATGTGCGGGATAAGCTGTCACAGTTATTGTTTAACCCACGGGGCAACCACGGGACAACCCACGGGACAACCAGGACAACCAACGGAACAAGACAACGGGAAAGCCATGGGACGACGCACGAAATGAATCGGGGGACAACCCAAAGGGGACAACGGGACAAGTCCGATCCGATCGGGTTTCCGCGAGACGGGGAGTGAGCTTTTGTGTCCATCTTGGCCCCAGCCTAGGCCGACACATCATCTTTCCGCGCGCGACGCGAACCGAAACAGAAACCACATTCCAGGTTGGGGTAGCGTCGCCACCCGTCTCATGGTTCCCCATCCTCCCCCCCCCTCCTCCTTATAATCTCTCTCTCTGTCTTGCCCGCCGTGCCTTTCTTGATGCCTCTCATCTCCATGCGCGTGCCCCCACCTCCCCGATGTCCCTCTCCTCCCCTCTGTTCAGGCCTGGCCGAGGGCTCCCTTGGTAAGACAGGCTAGGCTCGAGCTCTGTCGAGCTGCATCTGCTCGCTGCGGTCAGCCGCGCCCGGCCATCCTCGCACTCGCTTCAAAGGCCCATCCTTGAAGCAAAAAGCCCTCTCCAGGGTCTCCATTCCCTCTACCCCCCGACCTGGCCGACCCCCCGCGAGAGGACGAAGACAGCGTGACGACGGCCTGCCCGGAGATGGACCGCGAGATGCCAGGGCAAGCCGAGGCGAGCTCGCCGTGTGCCGCTGCTTCAAAGCCAGAGGGTTGTCCGATGGGGATACGCCAGGGATAGAGGAGGGGGCGAGGGATGATAGGGGGCAGGGGGAAGGGGACGAGACAAGCTAGGTGCGTTCACGCCTCATCTGACATCCGATCAGTCCCTCCCAGCCCTTCCCATGGCGCTGAGGTTTCTCTGTCCGCAGACGCGCGTCATAGCCGACCTGCGACTCACACAGAAAGACCACTTCGTGTTTTGCGCAACCGGCAAAAAGGGGAGCGGCGTGCACAAGAGCAGGAGGTGGCGGGTGAGCAGGGGGATGAGCATGAGGCAAAGGATGAGGACGAACAGCAGCAGCAAGAATTGAGGGGGAATGATCGGGAAGGAAAGGAGGACCAGGGAGAGGCGGAGGAGGGGAAATGAGGGAGGGGGTGGACGACGATGAAGAAAGAATTGGATTCAGACAAGTGGCCCGCGCTGGGGCGAGACGAACAGCAGCAGCAGGAACTGGAGTGGAGGAAACGGGAGGAACAGGAGGACCATGGCAAGTCGGAGAAGAGGAAATGATAGTTGGGACTACCATGAAACAACATTTGGATCCAGACAAGGGGTCCGCGCTGGGACGAGAGCGCCATTATGAATGATGGGAGCAACGCGCCGATCCGAACGTGAGGTCTACGCTGCAGCGGGAACATCTTAAAACACTGAAGAAAGTTGGTTTGCAAAGCAACAAGGAACATCAATGTTTGAAATTCTGAGTATAGGACAGGACGCGGAGGGGGCGGGTGATCTTCCAGACACTTCCATGGGAGGATGGAGAGTAGTTTATCGTATTGTTGTTTTGTGGAGGGGGAAGGGAGGAGGGGGAAGGAAAGGGGGAAGGGGGGAGGGGGAGGAAGGGGAGAAGGAGCGTTGGGAGGGCACAGGGAGGAAGGAGGGTGGAGGGTGGCTATAGGGAGCGGCATGGGAGTGGATGGGGGGAGGGAAGAGGGAGGGGGAGCAAGAGGAGGGGGGCAGCTGGTAGAAGCTAGATGCGTTCGCCGCGCCATCTCTGACATCTTACCCCTCCCACCAATCCCTTCCCATTGTGCGGTTTGGCTTTGGCGCTAACTGGAGTGCTCTAGATGGCCGTGATCCCCCAAATCACCCTTATCGCGTGATGCGCAATCGGAAGAAGGCTGCTTTGCCCCTTGAAGGATGAGGAAGAGGAGGAGGAGGAGGAGGAGGAGGAGGAGGAGCTGGAGGAATTGGAGGCGGTCGAGCAGGAGGAAGAGGTGGAGGTTGAAGAAGGAATCCGCAGGAAAAAGATGGGGATTAGGAGCAGGAGGACCAGGGGAAGGCGGAGAAGGGCGAAGGAGGGGGATGGCATTGACGAGGAAATATTTGGAACCAGACATGTGGGCCGCGTTGGGGCGAGAGCGCCGTCCTGAACGACGGGAGCACAGCGCCGATCCTGAAATGTAGCCAACATTGCAGCGAGAGCACCATGTTTGAAGGACCCATGCACTCCCAAGCGAAAATGCAAGTCACATCACCCTTTGAAGTCACGCGTGCGAAGCAGCGCGCGAGAGAGGCGGCAGAACAACGAGAACGCGTCAGGGGAGGGAGGAGGGTGAGTGGTATGTTTCTGGTGTATTTGTGGTGGGGAGGGGGGCGGGGGCTGGGGAAGGGGATCGGAGGAGGAGCGTGTTGGCCCCCAGCCGTTACGGGATCTGCGACGAGGGGGCAGAGAGAGAAAGCGAGAGCGCAGGAGACAGACAACAGGAGAGAGAGAGAGAGAGAGAGAGAGCGCGAGATATGGAGACACGCACATCTATCTATACACATATAGGTGGAAGAAGAGAGGGAGAGAGAGAGAGCGAGAGAGAGAGAGGGGGGACACAAACACAAACACACCATATGAGAGAGAGACACACAAACAAAGAAGGCGGGAATACGCTTGCGAGCACGTGTACATGTTAGGATGTTCATCGCAGACACATTGGACACAGGATGATCGCATCGCTTGAACGAGTTGTAAGGAGAAGTGAGATTGACAGCGTAAGTGGGACCGACAGAGTGTTGGGGGAACGCCTGTGCAGGTGAATGTGGGGTGACGGCGAAGGCAGGCTCGAAATCGAGGGCGAGAATCTGAGTGCGAGTGGGAGTGAGGGGCCGCACGCGTTGGTGGCAATGTGGGTGATATTTGAACCATCGAACGAGTTTGACATAGAGGAGACATGTGCAGTGGTGGAGAGGGACGACGATGATATATTTCACATGCTGGTGATGAACAAAACCGAAGTTCGACGATAGAGCCGCAAGCTGTACCCGGCCCCGCGCTATCATCTGTGCCTCCGCGCAGTGTTCGGGGCCACGATTTGTTTGGCTAGACATGGCCAGTGGAAGGCAGAGATGTATGAACGTGTTGATGATGGTGTAGGGTTGAGGATGGGGGAGGTAAAGTACAGGATGGCGCAGGTTTTCAGGAGAGGTATCCAATACCGATAATAACAAATCACCAATTTTGTGAGCACGATCTCGGCGGCGCGCCCAGGGGGGAAGGGGGAGGGGGTGGGGCTTCTCAGAAGGCAGCGGGGCTTCTTAGATGCCCTCCCGCATTCTGAGAAGCCGTCGCTGTCTTCGGAGGAGGCTTAGAAGACTTCTATGAAGGCGCGAGGGCCTCTGAGAAAGGGATTAAGGCCGATCCCAACCACATCGGGCCGTTCACGGACCACTGAGGACTGATTACGACCACTTGAATGGGACTGACCCCAACGTGTTGGATTATTTCAGTAATCCTGGAAGGCGAGCCCTGGATTGCAGCCGGTGAAGCTTGCGTAAGATTCCCTGCGCTTGAAGGACTCTGAAGTCGAGCTTGCGTGGAGCCAGAGTCGAAGAGCGCAAGGGAACGTTGGGGAGGCGAAGAAAGGTTCGTCCCAGGCTGTCTTCGCCTTGTTCGATAGTTAATCAAATGAGCCTTGTATACACTTGTAACTCCGTCTTTCGATTGCGTCAGCGCCGATTTAGCGTCGATGAGAGCCGATTAGCGTCGATCTGCAGCCGGCCTCGAGGTGGCCCGGACTCCGGACGGGTTCAGGAAGAACCTTTGAGGCCCATTGCCGTTGCCGCTCCCGCCAGATCTTCACGGGATAGTGCTCGTTCTTGGAATCGTTTCCCTGCCAGGAGGACAACAGCGCCATCTGCAGCACGACAGCTAGTCTGATTGACCCAGTGCATTTGCTCGTCCTCAGCAGCGCCCCCGCTGCTCCGCACCCGGCATTCCGCCCATTGCGCACAAAAGCGCAACCCGGGTGCGTCGGACGGGGTTAGGACGAGGAAAAATCCATTCCAGAGCGCTCCAGAACGCTCTCAGAGCGTCCCAGAAAACTCTGAGAAGGCCGCCGCGCCCGAGAGATCCTCCAGAGCCGCCCGATCTCAGAGATTCCCTGCGTATCATCACCCAGCTGTGTCCTCCTCCTCCTGGCTTCGTCTCAGATCCACAAGGGGTGGAGGGTTTCTCCGAAGGGCTTAGGAGACCCGTCATCCTCCTCCTCCTCCTCCTCCTCCTCCTCCTCCTCCTCCTCCTCCTCCTCCTCCTCCCTCCTCCCTCTTCCCTCCTCCCTCCTCCCTCCTCCCTCCCTCCTCCTGCTCCTCCCTCCTCCTCCTCCCCTCCTCCTCCTCCTCCTCCTCCTCCATCTCCTCCTCACCCTCCCCCCCCCTCCTCCCCCCCTCCTCCTCCTCCTCCTCCTCCTCCTCCTTTTCCTCCTACTCCCTCCTCCCTCCTCCCTCCTCCTCCTCCTCCTCCCCTCCTCCTCCTCCTCCTCCTCCTCCTCCTCTCCTCGTGCTCGTCCTCCTCCTCTCTCCTCCTCCTCCTCCTCCTCCTCCTCTTCCTCCTCCTTTTCCTCCTCCTCCCCCTCCTCCTCTCCTCCATCTACTCCTCACCCCCCCCACCACCTCCTCCTCCTCCTCCTCCTCCTCCTCCTCCTTCTCCTCCTCCTCCTCCTCCTCCTCCTCCTCCTCCTCCTCCTCGGGTTGCCTACGGCCCCGGGGAAGCCGTGCAACCAGGGGAAGATAGCGTTGGAGTCGGAGGCTCGAGGTTCGAGCCCGAGGCTCGAGGTTCTTGGACGCGTCCGTGGGCTCTCGGTGGTCTTCCGGCATCGGGGCGCTCGCCAGCAGCTCGAGCAGTGGCGAAGCGTCCCGGCCTGCCCACGGTAGGTTCTTGCGGCGTTGGCGCGCCGGCGACGCTGGCGAAGGCGTTCAAGGCTGAATAATACTACAACGTGGGAGCACCCAGGGGCGCGGTGACGCCGCAGGACCCGATGGAATTCAACCTTACACGATCGGGGCCGCACCAATTCAAGGTTGAACGATCGTCGGGGTGCCAAAAACCATTGCGCTCCGCCAACGCCGGACGAACCTACCGTAAAGGCCCACCAGAGAAGGTTCTAAGAGCCTGTTGTGGTCTGCACGAAGTGTTCTTAGAGCTTTCCTGGCCGAGACCCTCCTGTTTTTATTCACCTGGCTTAAAATCTGAGAACACGTGGCCTTCGTTATCCGAACCTCCCTGGGCCTAAGAACACCTCAGGATAGGCCCACGGGAATGCCGCGACGCTCGGCCCCTGCTCAAGCAGCTGCGCCTCGCCGACAGCGCTCCGCGGCATGCCCGGCCCCTCCCCCTGCGAGGGGCCGCGGCTCTGCGGCGCGCGCCTCGCCGCGCGGCGCCAGGCCGCCCTGCCCGCGCCGCAGCGCCCGCGGGAGAAGTCCCTCGGAGGCCGCCGCCGGCCTCGCCCCGCGGCCTCCTCGCGCCCCCCCCCGAAGGAAGGCAAGGTGTCGTGAGCGAAAGCTTCTGGCGCTCCGCGCGAGGTTCTCGGCTCCGCGCTGGCCGCGCCGGGGCCGCCCTTGGCGCGCTCCGCGCGCCAGGGAGGGGGGTCCAGCGCAGATTCGAGAAATCCGCGCGGAGCGCCAAAAGTGTATGTTTGCGGCGTTTTCCTCCCTCTTCTATTCCGGCCCCCCCGCCTCGCGGCCTCCTCGCGGCCTCCTGTCATCAAGAGAACCCCTGACCCGAATAACACGACGAGGACGTGGCCACATTGAGGTCCCCGTCTTTGCATCAGGCATAATAGTACCTGGGCGGCTCGGTCTGATACGTCTGCAGAGAAGCCCTCCATATCCCTGATGCTCTGCCCTCCTAAGCCAGGTCCCGGTCTGATACATCTGCCGAGAAGACCTCCTTATCCCCGATGTTTTCTGCCCTCCTCACCCAGGTCCCGGTCTGGTACATCTGCAGAGAAGAAGACCTCTTTCTCCCTGATGCTCCATGCCCTCCTGACCCAGGTCCCCTCCCAAAGGGTTTGACGCACTTCTGTCAGGAGGGAAAAAAACACACAGACACAATTAATCGTCGATCCCAAAGAAAATATAGGAAAATATGGGAATTGGGCGGGAAGACAAAGACCCCGAAAATATGCAAAAATAATATGGGCCAGATTTTTATTCGTGTGTATTTATTTGTGTGTCCCAGGGCCCCTTCATTCTGTTGCTCATCCTCCTGCGCCCCCGCCTCGCCCCCGGCGCCCCCGCCTCGCCGCCCGGCCACCGGCGTCCCCCCTCCCGGCCGCCCGGGCCGCTGGGGGCAGGAAGGGGGGGCGGCCATGGCGGCGGACAGCCCGGGGGGGCAGTGACCCTGAGCTAAAACGACGCGAAGATCGGGACAAAATCGGATCGGGGTAACTCGAAGTCTCTGAGACTCGGCGGGCTTGGAGGATGTATTGGGCGCCGCGGCCGCTCCAGAGCGTTCCGGAACGCTCTGAGAGCGCTCCGGAACGCTCTGGAGCGATTTATCCCAATCCTAGCCCTGTTTTATGAGCTTCCGGGAGGGCTGAGAAATAGCACCAGGACCTCCGCATCTGGATTTCCCGTCGAGGCTTTGGACAGTCCAAGCAGGTCTACGCTACGTCTGGAGGGCTCTCTTCTGGCACTCTGGGAGGTCCGGGGGAGGGGGCGGGACTGCTCGGAAGGCTCGGAGGGCTTCGGGCCCCCGAGGAGCTTCCTCGAAGCCTCCCAGGAAGCGTCCCCCCGAAGGCACAGAGAGAGAGCTCCTCCGAAGGCCGGGGGGGACTTCTGAAAGAAGCCCCGGGCTCGCGGCCTCCTTTGCGCCAAGGCCCCTCGCGGCCTCCTGCGCCGCGGGGGCAGGAGGGTGGGATGGTCAGAGGCCGAGGAGGTCCCTGACCTTCGGAGTGCTAAAGAATAGCCCTCCAGACCTATGGACTTATGTGGACTGCCTAAAACCTCGGCAAGACTGCAGATGTCGAGGTCCTGATGCTACTTTTTAGCCCTCCAGTGGGCCCAGGAAACGGCAGGGCCGTTTGTTCATCCTTTCTGAAGCAGTGCCTCAATTGAACATGGCAGCAGCAACAAAAACGGCAACCAGAGACGGCGAACAAAAACGGCTCTGGAATTGGGACCCATGCCAAGAAACACCTTGGTTGCCTCCAGGGTGCCAGGGTGCCCTGGATTTCTTTGGTTTCGATGGTTTCCCGATCGAAAGCGTGACGCTCCCACACCAAGAATCAGTGGACGTCCTGGGGTCTCTGGGTTGGTTTTCTTGTAGAAGGTTTCTTGTGGTCGCGCCCCTACTGCAATGATACCGCTACCCTTGCGTGGATTTCGCCTTTTGGGGCATGCTGGGGGAGGCCCTCGGCTCCACGGCTGGGTCCGCCTCGAAATCCTGGTCAGAACGCACCCGCGGAGAGGTTGGGGGAGTGGTTGTATCGGCGATTGCGTGTCGTGGATTCCGCCTGTCGTCTGGAACTACGTTCATGGAATGTTGGCTGGAAGTAGACGAGGCAAGGCTTCACTATGATGCTTGTTTCGTTCGTAGAACCCCCCAAACTGGGGGTTCCACTCATGGCCCCAGCGGGGCAGATCGCATGCGGCCTCCGCAAACTTCGGCAGGCACATGATACGCATCATGCCCCATCGGGGGCTCCACCCCGGCCAGATTTCCACTCATGGCCCCAGCGGGGCAGCTCGTACACGGCCTCCGCAAACATTAACAGACACATCACACGCATCATGCCCCCTAGGGGGCTCCACCCCTGGCCCGACTGATTTGTTTTTGAGCTTCCGGACGTCGTGGTCCTGGGTGCCCCACATGCCCCAGGGACGAAGCACATCAGCAACCAAACAAGGGCAGTGCCGGTGCTTCGCACAGGAGGGCGGGGAAAGCAGGGGGAGGAAAAGGACGAGGTGGAGCCACTGAAGCCACTCAGCATGGCAGAGTGCTCGTCCACGCGCCATCGGGGGAGGGCGCAGCAGCGCCCACACGCCGTGCTGCCCTCCCCCCAGGACGCCGTGCCGGTATCGCGCCAGAGGCCGCACTGCTGAGGGACCAGAGCGTCCCGCCGTTGGAAGCCGCCCCCGCAGCGCGAGGCCGTGGCAGGGCGGGGGGCGTCGAGGCAGCTGTGTGGGCAGAGGCTGACCGAGCCGCAAAGCGACCGCGCGCAGCGTCCCGCGAGGAGCTTGGGCGCCAGCAGGGTGCAGCAGCCCCCAAAGCCGCCCAGACACCGCCAGTGCGCGTCAGGGCGGGGGCACGAGGCAGCGGCCTGGGCCAAAGATGTCCGAGCCGAAGAAATGGCCCCGGATCAGGAGGAGGAGGAGGAGGAGGAGGAGGAGGAGGAGGAGGAGGAGGAGGAGGAGGAGGGGAGGTGGAGATTTCTGCCATGTGTGTTTGCAGGCTGTCAGACTTGAACTGAGAACTCAGAAGGAGGGGGGGGAGAGGGATGGGCAGGGAGAAGGAAAGAGGCGGAGGAGGAGGAGGAGGAGGACGAGGACGAGGACGAGGACGAGGACGACGAGAAGAAGGAGGAGGGATACAGGGAGGAGGAGAAGAAGGAGGAGGAGGAGGAGGAGGGGGTGAGGATGCGCGAGAAATGGAAGTGCGCGTTCGGCCGGCCGCTTCCGACGCCCATCGCAACCGACGGGCCGCCTCGCCCTCACCGCCCAGATCCGAAGGATCGCAACGGGGACTGCCTCACTCCGCCCGACGCCCAGCATCAGCAGCTTGTCGAGGCGGGAGGGGACGGCCTGTCCCTTCGAGCTGGTCGCAGTCCTGCAGCCCTTCCTTGAATCCGTCGCACCGCACCGCCGCCGCGGCCGCGCAGACGAGGCAGACCAGGTGCGGCACCTCGCGCTGCAAACGGTGGGCCTGATGCGGCCGCAGCTCCACCAGGGTATGGCCACGCCCGCCCCTGGCGTGCTCGGGGCCGAGGTCCAGGACGACCGACCGCGCGATCTTGTCGGGGCGGGCAAAAGGGTGGGATTGGGAAAGGAGGGGTCACGAAATCTGCTGCATGCAGCTGGTTTCCGCCTCACCGAGGGGCCCAGTCCTCGATACACAGCCGCCTCCGGCGCCGGGAGGCGCCGGGAAAATCAGCTACGTGAGCTGATTCTCAAACCCCCCCTTTGCTATCCCCCCCTTTCGCCCGACCCGATCTTGGGGCACCCCGTGGACTTCGGGTCTGGCTGCAGGCACCGCCCGCACCAGCGCGCGGGCCGCCCTCCTCGCCACGCGTTGGGCAGCGGGGCTCGAGCTGAGCGGTGTGTTGGCGACGTCGCGGGCCGCCTTCGTTTTGCTCGGAGGCCTGGAAATGGGCACCAACACCAACACAGGGGGCGGCCTTCAAAGGGGGAGGATGATCCTCGATTTCGGTGTTGGTGGTAATATTTCGGCCACCTTGGAGGCCAGAATATTACCACCATCACCGAGATCGGGATCTTCTTCCCTCGGTGGAGGCGCACCGCCGAAATTGGTGCTGGTGTTAACCTCTAGGCCTGCGATGTGCTTCCGTTCTGCAGCCAAGGTGGAACCAAACGACAGGACGAGCGCTATGATGCTCCAACCTACTTTAGCCTCGACTACCAGAAAGAATTTCGAGCGCCCAAAAAATTCTTTACGTTTCGCGTATCCCCACCAGCCCATCTCACAGCAGCAACTCTTGCGAAGCATGCCGACAGTCGTGTTTTTCAGGCGTGTGTCCGCTTGGCCCCGCATATCTCCCCTGTTCCTCCTTCCTCCCGCCTCCTTGCACATCCTCCTTGTGGGGGGAGCGGGAGAAGGACGAGGCGGAGGAGGAGGGAGAGAAAGCGCTCCTCGTGATTTGAGTCGTTTGGGGTTTCTCGTCCTGGTGTGAGTCGTTCGGGCCCTTCTTCCTGGTGTGAGTCGTTCGGGCTCTTCGTGGTGTGAGTCGTTCGGGCTCTTCGTCCTGGTGTGAGTCGTTCGGGCTTCTCGTGGTGTGAGTTGTTCGGGCCCCTCATCCTGGTGTGAGTCGTTCGGGCCCCTCCTCCTGGTGTGACTCGTTCGGGCTCCTCGTGGTGTGAGTCGTTCCGGCGCCTCGTCCTGGTGTGAGTCGTTCGGGCCCCTCCTTGTGGTGTGAGTCGTTCGGGCTCTTCGTGGTGTGAGTCGTTCGGGCCCCTCGTCCTGGTGTGAGTCGTTCGGGCTCCTCGTGGGGCCTCTTGGGGGCCTCTTGGAGCCTCTTGGGGCCTCTTGGGGGCCTCTTGGGGGCCTCTTGGGGGCCTCTTGGGGGCCTCTTGGGGCCTCTTGGGGCCTCTTGGGGGCATCTTGGGGGCTTCTTGGGGGCCTCTTGGGGCCTCTTGGGGGCTTCTTGGGGGCCTCTTGGGGCCTCTTGGGAGCCTCCTGGGGGCCTCTTGGGGCCATCTTGGGGCCTCTTGCGACCTCCTCAGAAGCGCAAATGAGCACTGCCCCCTGAGAAG